GAAGGAGGGGAGGGGTGGGAAGGGCAGGACATCCCGGAATGCTTACCGGTTGCCTAATGACTCTGCCCTATTCAGCGCGCATGCTCGTCATTCTGGTGAGTGGAAGCGAAGGTAGCTCTGGGGAAGAAGGAGAGGCGAGACGCAACACGGAGGATGAACGACGCTAGCTGCACCACTTGATGCTTGTGAGAGGGGCATCGGGCGAGGCTGATGCGTCGCGAACAGCGCGCCTTGTACACATTGTGTCCCTGTCCAGAGCGCGGACGAGGGCTCGGCGCTAGGGCGCACGAAGCGCACCAGGCCAGGCTCGCTTGGATCCATCCAGGTCACCGCATGTGCCAGGCCATTCAGCTGAACCACGAGCCATCTCTATCACTCCACACAAGAGCCAAGACAAACAGTACGGGAGAACGGAAGCAGCGGGGTCACTCAGTCCAGCGCTCTGTGGCAGTGGGTGGGAGTCTATGCACCCTCGAACGCCTCCCTCACACCGGGCCACCACAGCGAAAGTCTGCCGAGCATGCTCATCACCAAAAAGCACTGCGGCAATCGATCAAGGCGCACTACGCCATCACATTTGGCACATGCGTCTCACAGAGGGAGGAGATAGAAGGGTCAAGGCGGGCGCTAGTGCAGAGCACTCGAGAGACAAAGGTCGAAACTGGTTGGGTCCCATGGTGATGCTGATTGCCCCAGTGCTGTGAGTCCGCTTGCACGCCTATGCTGTGCAGGGCCTTCATGAACGCTGACTACCGATAGCATCGCACTCCAAGTCAACATGAATGCTTGGTGCAGAGGAGAGTATCACACGATGCCCGACAAGCCGGAGCATGCGGGAAACATCAGTCGACAAAGCGGGCCTGAAGCTGGGCTTGCTTGTAATTGGCAGTCTTTCGGAGATCAGCATACCTGACCCTTCCAATGCTGGTCGATTTACACGGGCTTCACTCTTCGGCGCGTCCACGAACATTCGCGTACCGATCGCGGATAGCCATCTGCCGGTGCTCCAGCTCCTGCAACGTCTCGACCTTGACGCATCACTAGAAGATCCGTTGGCACACCGTTCCGAAGCTGTTCCGAAAGGACGCAAATACGGGGTCCAGCATCGCAGTCGCTTTACCTGAAGCAGCTGCTCGGCGGGATTCTTTGGCTTTCCTTCGGCCCGCCTTACCCAACATCGAGGCGCTGTGACAGACTACTAACAGAGAGCGTGCTCGAAGCATCCGACCGCAGCCTTCCGCGCGACTCAGACTGATCTCTTCTTCGGGCTCGGATACGCAGGATGGATTGCTGTCTCATTCTTGGCGGCTATACGCGCCAAGCTGAGCACCAGTGCTGCATATCTCTCGATTACCGGCAGCCTCGCGCCCGCCGCTTCCAACGAAGCTCGCTAGCCTGCTAGACCCACTCTCTTCATCCATTGCCTACTGCTCGAATGGAGCGGGCCGAAGGACGTTGCGGTGGTGCACTCAATAGCCTTGATGTAGTGATCGGTATGGATCAATGTGAATGAGGGATCTCTTCGGGAACAGAAGTAATTGCATGCCAGTCACTCGGCATACAGTCGGTGTGGCTGCCGACAGGGCTCTCGGCTGGCGCCAAGCTGATGGTTCCAGCGCCACACAGTCAACAAGCTCACCAGACCGACTCTCCCGGGCAGCAGCGACGCGACGCTGGCTAGAGGTGGTACCTCTTGGCACCCAGTGCAGCCTCGAAGCGTTGTCGCGAATGACGTCGCATTGGGCATTGCCCATGTTGGGCACCCAGCATCCCTCAGCCATACACAAGAGCTCGGATTATCCACGCCATGCTCGACTTGAGCACTGACTCCTTGGTAGACACACTCCTGATGGTACACGCAAAGCACGTTACTGTGCGCCTCTCATCGGCGATGGACGATTCTGTCAAAGACGGGCTGGCTACTCGCCAGAGGTAACGGGTACGCTCTTCTTCAGGCTCTCTCCTTTTGGGCATCTGACTTCGCACGTCATCTATTGTAGTGTCGGCAGAAGAGTCAAGATCAACGCCGACATCCGAACCAACCGCACGTTTCGACGCCAGATCGAGCTCTTGACTCTACTTTTGCGATTGACAATTATGAGTGACTGAGACGTCCGCAAGCTAATGGAAAGTACACGGGAATAACCCATTTGCCAACACGGAGAATCTTGAATGATACCAAAAGTAGATGAGTGGTCTGGTACCTCAAGCTCGGCCAGCAGCGCGACGCTCGCGCGCGGGCGGACCTTGCGCGCTCTTGAGTTCTACGCGCTCCCGTGTGGTGAGCAGCTAGGCACAATGTTGACGCGGTCAAGAGCCGTAAGTGTGAGTCGTGGTCACCCTTACTTCCCAATACGAGCTCAGACGATTCACACTCACACTGCCCTCTTGATCATTCGTTTGCCACCTTCTGAAACATCTAACGACTTGTCGAACGCAACAGCTCAAGCGCTCCCGCTCCCATAGGTCGGCTGCCACCTCTGTCATAAGCTCATCCCTCCACTCCGTGTCGACGTGGCGGCTCCAGGCTGCTGTAGGATTGAGCTCCGACATCCAACTCATCCTTGCGCTCCAACCATCATCGCCATCACCCTGACTCTCACCCTCACCCTCACTCTGACCCTCACCCTCACCTTCACCTTCATCTTCACCCACAACGCCTTCACTGGGGTTCTTTTTCAGACTTTGTGCAGGCCTGATTGGCTTCTCGTCGTCATGTCTTCGTCTTCCGACCCTACGGGCCGC